ATCTAAAGCCTCAACGAAAACAAAAGGGCCCCTTTACTAGGTGGCTTCCAGCAGCAAAAGCTTCTAAAGCCAACCTGAGGCTCTTATGGTGCCCACAATGGGGCATGTTACCCTGCAGGCCCCCTGACCCACAGCTCCCATCCTCATCACCATGGGCCAGGGTCCCTATAAATGAAATTCGTGAGGGTACAAAATCCGGTTGGCTCTGGAGCCTAGCTTTTCCATTCCACTCCACCCCCTCCACCCACACAGCTGAGGTCACCCGGCCCAGCCTCTTTTGCAACTTTCCCAAGTCTGTGCATGAGAGCGAGAGGAGGAAAACTCAGAGGGAAGTGGTGTGGCTTCAACAGACTTTTTTTTGCCTGTCTTTATCACAAAGCCTTTTCCCTGGCCCTGCTGAGACCATTGCTCTAAGAGACCCCAGACTGAGAGAGGACTCCCAGCTGTCCTCGGAGCGGAGGCCGCGTGCTACACAGCCACAGCTGTAAGTGCCTGGGAGTTTGTCTCAGTCCTGTCTGCCCCCGCAGCCCTGAGAGTTATTTGGGTGTTTGGGTGGAGGAGTGGGGGCAGAGAATGCAAAGATAAAGATTTCCAATCTGGCAGCCGCAGAGTTTAGATCCAGCCCAAAGCCCCCCACCCTGGAGAAACTCCCAGGGTGTGGCAGCAAGAAAGGACTTCCCTGCCTATGTGAAGAGCTGGGGCCCAGCTCGGGGACCCACAAGGACTGTCAGTCCCAGGATGCAGCTGCCGGCCCCGTCAGAAGAAGGCGGCGCTGCTGCCTCCAGCCTGCAGGACCTGCCAGAAACTAGAGCCCAGCAGGAGGGCAAAACCCTCCTGGCACCCAGAGTCCCCTTGTAATATCGACAGAGTACCTTCTGGGATGGAACCGTGTCGGCCCAAGGGCTTAATCAGGCAAAGCTTGGCTCCTGGAGGAGGAAATTATCACTCCTGTTCTAAATCATAAATATTTCTCCTTGCCCAGTGCTGCGATGCCAGGGGAGCCAGTGAATAGAGTCGGGCAGATCTGCATTCTACCCAGTTTACCACCAACTAGTTGTTCTCGACGCAGGAATCCACTGGGCTTTAATGGCATTTTGTAAACTGCAAATCCTCTATAACTGCTAGGTACTATGTATTAACACAAATAATTTCTTTGGGCTTACAGATCAATCTCTCACCACAAAGGTCCCATGGAGATAGTAATTTGTCTGTATCCTCAGACCTACACAGTGCTGGTGTGTAGTAAACGGCACTGCCTATGCTGGACAGATAAACAGATGGATGGATGAGTGAATGGATGGCTGTTCATGGAAGCTTCTAGAATCCCAGCATTGGTCAGGCTCTTTAGTGGGATACAGAGAGGTGTGAGGCACAGTCCTGCCCTCCAGGCATGGACAGCCTACTCAAGGAGACAAGACTAATTCCCTCAAATAACTTGAAGAAGAAAAGCACAGAGCCTCCTGAAACCAGAGCTGTGGGTGCGCTTCCCGGAGGGAGCAGGTCTAGACCTGCTAGGGTTGAGGTGGGCAGGGCAGAACTGTGAGCTTTACTGGGAGACAACAAAGCCCTGTGCTCTCTATATAGCCTCTTTTCACAGACAAACTTTGCTCCCAAGATCGTAGGTCCCATTATTTTTTTAGCGTGGGTATATTTGTCCTTCTCCAAGGTATGGGATTGGGAGGGGAGGTGCTGAAAGTGGACAAGAGCCAGGAAGATAGTACAATGGAGACTCTGTCCGCTTCAGAACCCTCACCTGCCCCTGCTCACGGGTCTCCTGTCAGCAGATGTGATACCCCACCCAACACAGATGCGACAGAAGACTGTGCCTGGTTTCAGGTTGGAGCCAGCAGGATAGGGAGAGAAAGGAAGGCAGAAGTGAGAGCGAAGGGGGTCCAAGCGTTCTTGGAGGGCTTGTCCCAGGACCTGGGGCTTGGTAGCAACTCGGTCCTTCTTCCTCCACAGGAGCTGAGCTACCATGTAGCTTTGGCAAATGGGCAGGCCCAGGACTCCAGGCTTACACGTGCTGCCAGGCCAGAGCGGGGAAGAGTTGGGCACCTCCAGCAGGGAGTGAGTTCTGCTCTCTATGGACCGGGGCTGGCTGAAGGCAGTGTCCTGCATTTCAATCCTGCTTTTCACTGTTACTTAACAGTAGAGGATGACTCAGCCTGGCCTCTAGGAGGATTCCCTGGTTTGAAGCATCTGAGTCAGCTGAGTGGGTGGGAGGAGACTTAAAAAGACAGCTACTGCCAAAGCCAGCAGAGATGACTTGGAAAGGGACTCTGACCGCCGTATGAGATCAGCATGTGCCTCCGTCACCCCACTAGCTGCCCCCAGTGCCCACAGTGACCTGTCCCAGTCGCTCGCCTGTTGCTCCTAGTGACGCTGGGCCTGAGGACTGGGCTTTAATAAAATAGGAGTCTCAGCAAACTCCTCCCCTTCTGGGATGGGGTAGGGGAACCTGCAGTGAGAGCACACCCTGAGGGATCATCCAGGGGAAGGAACCAGGGAGGCGGTGGGATGTGGGAGCTCAAGATTAAAGCAAGGTAACTTACAAAGATCTTGAGCACTTTTGTGTGGCCCTCAGGAGAAATACTCCTAGGAGGAGGAAGCAGCTCCATGGGCCAGGTCTGGCTCTACCTTTCATGAATGTGGAAGAGATGACTCAAGCGCAGGGTAGTGCCTGGCATAAATGACCTTTGAGGTCCTTGCAGGAGTGTGCTGGAGCAGGCTCCACGCTGGTGGCTTGCAGTTGCCATGGTGGAGTGTTTACACCATAGGAAGTGGCAAGCATAACAAACCCGGGCTCTGGTCTCTAGCCTCACCCCCTCTCCTAGTCGGTAAACAATTATCTGGATCTTTGCCAAGTTGGGGAGCCTGTTGTGCTGTAAGATCATGACACATGCCGCCTGCAGAGGAAGCCACAGCCACGAGTGATGTCCATTTTACCCATGAGGGAACAGTTGCCCAAGGTTCAGTAACTCACCCAAGGTCACAGATGTGTGGAGCGGGATGAGAATTCTGAGTCCCACACTCACGATCACTCCATGGCACCAGACAGACTTGCTCTCTTGCTCAGACACAAAAGCAATTTGTCCTACCTGAAAGTCATGCTCAAATTACTTGGGGCTGCCATCCACACATCGTTTTAAAGAAATGTTAAATGATTATTTGATCTTTTTTTTTTTTTTTTTTTTTTTTTTATGGAGTCTCACTCTGTCGCCCAGGCTGGAGTGCAGTGGCGTGATCTTGGTTTACTGAAACCTCTGCCTCCTGGGTTCAAGCAATTCTCCTGCCTCAGCCTCCCAAGTAGCTGGAACTACAGGTCCCCCATAATGCCCAGCCAATTTTTGTATTTTTAGTAGAGACAGGGTTTCACCATGTTGGCCAGGATGATCTCGATCTCTTGACTTTGTGATCCGTCTGCCTCGGCCTCCCAAAGTGCTGGGATTACAGGCGTGAGCCACCGCGCCCGGCCAATATTTTTAAATTACAAAAACAACTTACGCTTGTGTAACAAATTTTAAAACAAAACATACATGACATAAAGTAATACCTCTTGGCCTCTAATCTATCTTTCCCATCTCTCTTATGAATCATTTAGTGTAAATCTACCTCTGGCTTTCTGTATCACACTATATAAAATATTCAGCAATTTTCTTTTTTCTTACTTAAAAGTATCACATATAGCTTTCCACTGCATTAGTTCATCTTTTTAAAACTGCCCTTGGCCAGGCGTGGTAGCTCACACCTGTAATGCCAAGATTTTGAGAGGTTGAGGTGGGAGGATCACTTGAAGCCAGGAGTTTGATACCAGCCTGGGCTACAAAGCATGACCCCATCTCCACAAATAAATGAAAAATAAGAAATCAGCCGGGCATCATGGCTTACACCTGTAGTCCCAGCTACTTGGGAAGCTGAGGCAGGAGGATCACTTTAGCCCAGGAATTTGAGGTGGCAGGGGGCTATGATCATGCCATTGCACTCCAGCCTGGGCAAAAGAATGAGACCCTGTCTCTAAATAGATAGATAAATAAATAAATAATAAAACTGCCAATTGTTCCAGAGTATGAATGGATCAGAATTTATGTAGAGTCTCCTACTGATGGACAGTTAGATTACAGCAATGCTTTAGCAATCATCTTTGTACAGATATGTATTTGAGCATATGCGTGAGTATTTCTGTAGGACAGATTCCTAGAATGAGAAACCTAGGCTGTGTGCATATTCAGTTTTGATATTGTCAAATTGCCTTCCAAAAAGACTGTGCTAATTCATACTCTATCGACAATATATAAGACTGTTTCCCCAACACACCTGCCAACCCTAAATATTGTCGTCAATCTTCTTAAATTTTTGCCACTCTACTGGGTAAAAATAAATGGTATTTTAAAATGTTTATTTCCTTGATAGTAACATTGAGTATCTTTTCAAAGCTTACTAATTCTTAATAAGATTTCAACTGGTAACTTGTTCATGTTCTTTGCCCATTTTTTGGTAAGTATGCTGCCTTTTATTATCTGTATGAGCACTTTACCATTGTGCATAGTGACCTACTGTTACGTGTCTCTCACACAGCCCCTGTCCTTGCTTCCTTGATGACTCCCTATGGTGGGTTCCTATTTGCTCCATCTCTGTGCTGCTCCCAGTGTCTAGTACAAGGCTTTGCATGCAGTAGGCATGTAGGCATTTGCTGCATGAATGCATGGACCATCAAGAAGACCCTTTGCTCACCATGCCAACCCAGCGCTCCTGGGCTAGAGCAGAAGTTCCAACTCCAGCTCCTGGGACAAACAGCTCTTAGCAGAGCTTCAAATCACCTTTGGTCCATGATATGGTTTGGCTTTGTCCACACCCAAAATCTCACCTTGAATTGTAATCTGAATTATAATTCCCACGTGTTGGGGGAGAGACCTTGTGGGAGGTGATTAGATCATGGGGGTGGTTCCTCCTTGCTGCTCTTATAATAGTGAGTTCTCACAAGACCTGATGGTTTTATAAGGGGCTTTTCCCCACTTTGCTCTGTGCTTCTCTCTCCTGCCATGAAAGGAAGGATGTGTTTGCTTTCCCTTCCACCATGATTGTTAAATTTCCTGAGGCATCCCCAGCCATGTGGAACCAATTAAAACTCTTTCCTTCATAAATTACCCAGTCTCAGGCAGTTCTTTATAGCAGCATGAGAACAGACTAATACAGCCCATGACATGATTCATGAAGGGGACATTAACAATCCTAGGTCTCTGGGGGTTTCCCATTTTGGGTCCCAAGCACAGCTCTCATGGCCAGTGAGCTCTAGCTCCAGTAGATAAAGCACTTTTCACTAAGAAGGCATCTTGAGTCTTTGGGGCTCAGCTGGCTCATTCTCCAGTTGGACAGCCAATGGAGAGGGAAAGTAACTACTTTACTCAGAGAGGGAAAGTAACTGGCCCAAGGTCACACAGTGGCAAAGTGAGAATCAGAACCAAGGCCTCAGGATGTCATATTTACAGCTTTTTCCAAATACCAGGGGAAACACAAGCTGGCCAACTTTTGAAACCTCATCTGAGCAGAGTCAAATCAAGGTTTACTCACCATGCTTCGTGCATCTAAAGACAAAAGACCCAGGAGTTGGGGATAGTGCATGTGCGTATGTGCATGTATGGGTAAAACAAAGGGCCAATTAGGTATGTCTCCTACAATAGTTTTGCTATACCTTGTAAAAAAAAGATACACACACACACACACACACACACACACACACACACACTTATATATATACATTTACATTTCTCTTCTAGGAATAAGACACATTTGTCGCTGATCACGGTGGCTCACGCCTATAATCCCAGCACTTTGGGAGGCCGAGGAAGGTGGATCACTTGAGGTCAGGAGTTTGAGACCAGCTTGACCAACATGGAGAAACCCTGTCTCTACTAAAAGTGCAAAAAATTAGCTGGGCGTGGCAGCATATGCCTGTAATCCCAGCTACTCAGGAGGCTGAGGCACAAAAATCACTTGAACCTGGGAGACGGAGGTTGCAGTGAGCCAAGGTCACACTATTACATGCCAGCCTGGGCAACAAAAGTAAAACTCTGTCAAAAAAACAAACAAAACAAACAAACAAAAAAAACCCATATATTTGTTGTTAAAAAATGGAAAGTTTTAAAAAGCAAAGAGAAAAAAATTAAAATCATGTTCCTACCACCCAAAATTAATCACTTTCATTTTTAATTGACAGATAAAAGTTGTACCCATTTACCATGTTGTTTTGAAATGTGCATACATTGTGGAATGACTAAATGGAGGTAATTAACACCTGCATTATCTCACATACTTATTTTTTAGTGGTGAGAACACTTAATACATACTCTAGTAGGAATTTTCAAGAATACAATACATTGTTGTTGATGATAATCACCATGCTGCATAATATATCTCCTGAATCCACTCCTCCTGTCTAACTGAAAGTTTTTATCCTTTGACCAACATCTCCCCAGCTGCCCACCCCAGCCCAGCCCCTGGTAACCACCGTTCTACTCTCTACTTCCATGAGTTCAATTAATTATTTTAGATTCCACGTGTAAGTGAGATCATATGATATTTGTCTTTCTTTGCCTGGATTATTTCACTTACCATAAGGTCCTCCAGATTTACCCATATTGCCATAAATTGTGTTTTTAAAAAACTGAACAGTACGCGTTGTGTACACATGTACCACATTGTCTTTACCCATTCATCCACTGATGGACACTTAGGTTGATTCCATATCTGGGCTACTGTGAACAGTGCTGCAGTGAACATGGCATGTAGACGTCTCTTCAACATCCTGATTTCATTTCCTTTGTCTGTGTATCCTGTAGTGAAATTGCGGGAATTTTTAATATATTTCTTTCCTTTCTTCCCAGGCCTTTATCTATAGAAGCAGGAACTCCTGTAAGTATTGGGGTGGTATTATGTGTACAGTTTAGCATCTTCTGTTTTTTATTTAGATCCTAGGGCATGAGTATTTTCCCATATTATTGTAATAGTCTCAAAAACTCCATTTAATGACTGCTTAATAGTTCATTGTGTGCTATGATTTAACCACTATTTTATTGCTGGATATTTATAAACCATACTGTGAAGAACATTGTTGAACAAGAGTCTTGACCCACATTTCGAATAATTTCTTTAAGACAAATTCCTAGAAGTGGAGGGCGGGAACATTTTTAAGGCTCTCAACACTTGCTGCCAATAGCCTTCCAGAAACACGTGTCAGTTACACCCCGCCAGCTGCATTAGAGAGGAGCCTTTTGATTCTGCAGTTGCAGCCAGACCTCGGGCTGGGGGAGGGGCCCTCTTCCATCCAAAGCCTCTGGGCAGTCCTGACAATGGACCCCTTGTCCTGCCCACCCCCATCTCTTCTTCCTGCATGGCCCTCTATCCCTGGCTCCACGCTGGGCTGTCCGTGAGGCCTCTGTTCAATCCTGTCCTGTCTTCTTGATACTTCAGGCTGCCTCCAAGAGCAGGGTTGGTAGAGCTGAGGGATGAGAGATTTGCCTGTCCTAGAGGGTTGTCACCCCTCCAGCTTTGGGGAGGCCCCCAGGGAAGGCGAGGGAGAAGGTGTAAGAGAATTGATGAATGATGCGCCTCTTTCTAAGAACTACCCCACCCAGTCCTGGGCCCAGGGCAGTCATTTGCCCATTGAAAAGGGGAAAGCAGAGGCCACCGTCAGTGACAATGGCTGCAAGGAACACTGCCCAGCAAGTGGATGACCTCTGCTTCCTTACAGGCTCTGAAGCCCCTCCATGAATCCCCGGAAGAAGGTGGACCTGAAACTCATTATCGTCGGAGCCATTGGGTAAGCCAAGCCAGTTCTGGGAATTGGGATGCAGCCCCTCACCCAGGGACAGTGAGACCTCCTGGTGTGTTCCCATCCCCCATAGGTCCATTTCTGACTCAGGGTGGCACCAGCAATTGTATCCCACTCCCCAAAAGAGAAGCTTAGTTGGGAGAAAGAAGCTGCACATAAATAGGTGGTTTCTAGTCCCAGATCTGCAGTGACTCTGCACTAACCAGCTGTGTGAATTAGGCAAGTCATTTAGCATCTATCTGTCCTCCCACCTCCTACACACACAGAAAAAACCTGACCATCACTGTAAGATATTCCACTGTCTCCCAATGACTCTGCTCACTTCGATTGGCTTCTACTTCTAGAAACCATTTCCTACTCCTTTGCTACTCAAAGTGTTGTTTATGGACCACTGAAATTTGAAATTACAAATTTCAGGGAGAGACAGTGGCAAGAGGGGCCTGGTAAGATTCTGAGAATGGTATGGAAGCATGTGCATGTGTGTTTGCATGTGTGAGTTCACGTGTATCTGGAATTTTCCTCAGTGTGGGAAAGACCTCCCTCCTTCACCAATATGTGCACAAGACATTTTACGAGGAATACCAGACCACGCTGGGGGCCAGCATCCTCTCGAAGATTATTATATTGGGTGACACAACTTTGAAGCTACAGGTAAGAAGCCCTCCTTTTCCCTCTTCAACATACATACACTGAAAATCACCCCCACCCCTCGACAGCCACTCATGGAGCCAATGTGCACCAGAGCTAGAATGGTCTAGAGCAGAGATGGGCAAACTTCAGCTCATGGACCAAATCTGGTCCACCTCCTATATTTGTAAATAAGACTTCACTGGGGCACAGCCATACCCATGATTAACTTCTCATGTTATGCACTACGATGGTAGAGTTGAGTAATAATTGGCATACAGAGACAGTATGGCCTGCAAAGCCTAAAATATTTACTACCTGCTCTTTACAGAAAAAAAAATTGCTGATGCCTGATCTAGAAGGAAGAGCACTAAGCCAGGAGTTGAGAGACCCCACGCCTAGTCTCAGGTTCTCTGGAAAACTTGGCAGGTGATCTTAGGCAAGACATTCCCAAGGTCCAAGTTTCCAGATCTGTGAGATGAGAATAACAGTTCCCACCTTGATGACCCAGGGGAAGAACGAGAGCTCAGATGTGAATTTACTCTCAGGATGTTAAGTGTTACCCCAGAGGTGTCGGAGTGTATGTGGGTGGGAGGGTCAAGATGCCTCTGTGTGAAAGAACCACGTGCACCTGTACCAGGGCTTGCTACCCAGCAAAGGAAGCCTTAGCATGAGGTAACCCAGCTGAGCTTACTTCCAGCCTCACCACTGCCCGTGGGGCGGCTGCTTTTCCTCCAGATCTGGGACACTGGCGGTCAGGAGCGGTTCCGCTCCATGGTGTCCACGTTCTACAAAGGTTCCGATGGCTGTATCCTAGCGTTTGATGTCACTGACCTGGAGTCTTTTGAAGCCCTGGATATCTGGCGGGGTGACGTTCTGGCCAAGATTGTCCCCATGGAGCAGTCCTACCCCATGGTGTTGCTGGGGAACAAAATCGATCTGGCAGACCGCAAGGTACTGTTCGTTCATTTATTCATTCAACAAACATGATGTGGGCACCCACTATGTGCCAGGCACTGCGTTAGGTCCCACACATGCAGAGCTGAATCAGGCGTAGTCCTTACTTCAGGAATTTCACAGTCTAGTAGTGGATACAGATACTTTAAAAGATAATTATAAAATAAAATAAAAAGATAATTATGATACGATATGGTAAATGAAATAAGAGATATACCTTGGGTATTTAGGGAGTAAAGTAAAGGGGCATCTACCCAAGCCTAGAATATAGGACAGGTTTCCTGGAAGAGTTGGGTTCTGGGCTGAATAAACAGCATGATATCAGTTGAGAATGGAAGGCGACTTTGTCCCCTGTCCACAGGGGACGGGGGAGTTAGGGCATCAGAGGCAGGTCTCTGTGGAATTTGAACGAATCTGCATCATCGGGTCAAGCTGGGGGTCTGCAGTTATAAATTCTTGGATATACAAGTTTTCTGGGGAAGTAATAATTTTTTAATTAGCTTAAGCATATTCCAGACCATCGGGTTACCCGCTCGACAGCTGGCCTGCTCCGTGACTACAGTGACCCTGCTTGTGTAGGTGTTTACCATCACAGGGCCATTGAGAAGAGAACATTTTTAATCCTCGCCTACAAATGAGGAAAAATATAGGTAGACTTAATTTGTAAAGGATGCTCTTGGGTCAAAAGTCCAGACACCACCAGAAAGAGCTATTTGAACCAACTTTCTCTTTTTAGTGTTTCAAATACAGAAGAGTGATGGGGAACTGGATCATCATGTCTAAACTACATTTTCACCATGGTTCAAAAAGAGAAAGCAATAGAAATGAGGCATCATTTGGCATGACGAAGTGTGTTTACGGGTGGAGAAAGGGAGGGAGGGATGGTGCTTCCAACTAAGCTATGATCTCCAGAAAGGAGAGCCTCTGGCTCATAGAGAAAGAAACATTTTTGGTTTGGACAGGCCGAGTTTGGGGAACTTGTAGAACTAGTTGGAAATGACCAGCAGGCTTTGGATGCACAAGAATGAAATTTCAAAGGAGAAGTCTGTGCTGGAAATAGATAATCTAGGAGTCGTCGGGTCTGTGGTCACTTCAGGTTGTAAACTCCGTGTCAATTCTCTAATTACAAATATCCAGCCTCGGCTAATAAGTAAAACCCTAAGTTCCTTCAAAGACAAGGAGCCTCCATTTCTTCCCCCACTGGGACCAGCTGTGGGTGAGAACCTTGTAGGCTAAGAGAGGGAGCAGGTCCTTAGAATCTCACTGCCAACCTTGATGTCCACACTTCCTCCTCTTATCTGGTGGTAATGCTGGTTTCAGACCCTGTCGGGAGTGAAGGAGGAAGAAGGAGAAGAGGTCGGGAGAACAGGGCAATTCTTGTTTGACTGGTGCTGTCACAGAGAGCCTTGCACTATCCGGGCCTGACAGGTGTTGCAAGCTCTCTCTTCTGTGGGTCACTCCTCTGGGTCCTTAGGAAGCCCCACTGGGAACACTTCACTAAACCTCTCATGACCAGGGCCTTGCATTCCCCTCCCTAACACCTAACTTTCAGCATCCCCACCCCATGGGCGTCACCTTTTCCTCCAAGCAGTCCCCTAAGTGGGGTTTAGCCTGTCCCAGCCTGGCTCTCTCTCTGTTGCATCCACCTGTCCTTCACAAGGCACACCATGCATTCTGGCTCCACTTAGGGGTAAGGGTAACTGGTGCCCAGTGCAGCCTCTTCCCCTGTGCTCCATCGTCTCTTGCCTCAGATACCTCAGGTGTATGTCAGACACCTGTCCACCGTGTCCCCCAAACTCCAGGGGTCATACGATAGTGACACCTCAACACCCTCTTTCAGCTAGAGGGGGGGCCTTCCCTGCTCCTCTTCTTGGGAGAGGCAGGGGTTGCTGTGCCCACAACACAACTCTCTCCAAGGAGATCCCTCCTAATCCTCATTATCAAGCTTTTATATCCACGCTGTGGAATTTAGAGTCATCCAAGAGAGTCTTTGCCATGAGACTTTGGGAATGTGTACCCAAGGGGGACTGTCTCCACCTGCTTTATATCTGACATCTGTCCGATTGTTGTACCTCTGCCAAAATGTTCATTTTAACTTCCATCTTGTTTCATGCTGTAGGGTGTGGGGAGGGAAGCTGGGGGAGCTCCAGGCAGAATCAGTGAAATAAGAGGTGCCATCTTACATCGAGAGAGAGGGAACCAACATGAGGCTTACAAACCATGAGGAAGCTTTGCCAGCTATTCTGGGGAAGAGCTACTTGCGGACAAGGACAAGAGCTGATGGGTGACACCAAGGACTCCGCTGAAGGAGGAGACCATGAGTGTGAGGTGGGGTCTGTGTGGAGTACAAGCCAGGAGCAAGAAACTTGGACTAAGGCCTTTCCAACCAAGAGCAGCTGAAGGACAGAGCTGTGAGGACACCGAGAAAGGGTGGAGGAAGGAAGAGGGACTGGGGAAGGCTGAAGGGCCAGGGCTGGGGCGGCAGAGGCTGGGGACAGGGCAGCAGGAGGGAGGGCCTGAGGGGGTTGAGGGAAAGGAGATCGGGGCACAGGAGGCCAAGCATCATATTTTACAGAGGCTGACACAGAGAGATTTGGGCAGCAAAGGATTTCTGAGGCTACCGTGAGAGGTGGCGGCTGCGTGGTGAGCGGTTAGAAAGCCTCACCAGATGGCAAGTGTTTAGCAAATGAGAGGCACCTGGCAAGATGAAAAGGGTGGGTGGTGACTCACAGGGGTAGAGGGGTCCGATCCAAGCCTCAGGGTGGATGAGCTCTGGTGTTCAGAGAGAGAAAGAACAAAGGTTTGAAAGAGGCAGTGAGGCACTAGGCAAGCCAGGCCCCTCTCCCGGATGTGTGGTGAGCAGAGTCTGCAAACAGCCACAGTGGGGAGGGCAAGAGGGGGCACTGGGGAAGCATGACCCTACGAAAAGCCAGGGTTCAGCCAGACAGGGAGGTCCCTGGAGAGGATGGAGGAGAAGATGGAGGAGAGGATGGAGGAGGGGATGGAGGAGAGGGAGGAGGAGAGGGGAGGAGAGGAGGGAGGGGAGGAGGGAGGAGG